GAAAAAGCTTCATAATTAATGAGCACGCAGACACTGAAAGCACACGTGGTCTCACCTTTATTGACTTCAACTGCAGCAACAGTGGACATAGTTGAAGAGTCACCTTTATGTACATACATGTGGTCAGTCCACAGACACACGATGACCAGCGACTAGTTTTCATACAGCTGTTAAAGCATCACGTCAGGTACCGGAACAGCCCGAGGATGGACTGTTTTCAGCTCGACTAACACTCATAGATAAAGTGGCAGCATCATCCACACTCACATGTTTTAAAAAGCACTTTGCTATCATGACACTAAAGTGAAAACAAAAAAACTCATGCATTCAACACGCTTGCTTTTGACTCCTCACGTGTTGCAGAAAGCATCACAATCCAGAGGAGATTCCAATTAGAAAAAAGTAAAATGTGACATAAAAGAAAACAGGCTGAACAGGTCTGCAAACATTGTGTTAGCTTAACGCTAATTAGCCGTAAATGATATGCAGAGAAAACCTCATCAGGTTCAGCAGCACGCATCAAACCTGCATTAAAAACAATTATGTCCAGTACAAGTAAAATTAGCATGAGGCTGTGGGACTAGGAGGCCTGGTCATTCTGTACAACGCTCCCATAAAACATTCATGCACGCAGCCGCCACCCCAAAACCCTGCGTGTTAACACGGCAGCCGCAGGCCGACGCTAATGACGGCAGCTCCCGGCGCACCACTGGCTGACTTTGTGGGCAGCCTCCACTGTGAATGCGAAGAAAGGCCAAGTGATCTGAATATCAAGGTTCTCTCTATCAGTCTGGGACCTTGTTTGAAGGAGAAAAAAAAAATGATTTCAGGTTTTCCCCTGTGCAGACAGCCATGAAAAAATCTGATTCACAGCACAAAAGATTTTAAATCAAACACTCAAGACAGTTTGTTCAGAGGCCTTGTGTATTCCTAAACCCAAAGGGAGTTTTAAAAGGAAAAAAAGTGTAAGCAACAAAGAAAGACCTTCTGCTACAGTCAGCCACAAAGGGCGAAGCGTCAAATGAAACTATCTTGAATATCCGGTTAATCAAAATATCAAAAGACGGCAAAGTCGAGATATCCTTGAGTTTTCCTTTGGACAAAGCAGGGGGCAAGAAGACCTACAGAAAAGAGGCATCAAAGTCCCTTTCAATCTCGTCATTCCTCCTCCGCCTCCCCGCCTCATTCAGCGGCTCCCCAAGGTGAGTCTTTTGCATTTTCACTTGGTCGCGCGGTTCAGCATTCCAGGGTGGTTAATGGAATTAAAATCAATGACAATCTCGGTCCTCTTGGGCTTGAACTGCCTGCCAAAAAAAAAACACACACACACAGAGGGAAGAAGCAACAACATTAGTCAAAGATGCACAGGAATGAGAACACACAGGAAAACACAGACGCCGATGAAAGTCACCTTTTCTGGTCGTACTCTGACGATGTTTAGCCGCTAAAACCAAACCCGGGTCACATGCTGTGAGTACGCACCGAATCCTGCATGAAGGATCCTTCACAGCAGCTGCTCTCAGACTTTCTGAGGGTTCAGATCCCTCCGGTCGAGATGTTCCACCAAGCAGTCATAAAGAAAGACCTGCTGCAGGACACGCCGTGGTTGTTACGCAACAACCTGCACGGCACCGTTTCAGGTCTTTTTTCCAATAACAAGCCCTGACCTAAAACTAGTGAGCGGGCTCATGGTGAGAACAGACCAGTGCTGTCACAACAGCAGGTCTGGTATCTGTCTAAACATACCAGCACTAGTACGTAATTAAATAGAAAAAAATCAGATATTTTTGACAATGCAAGGCTCTGAAGGATGTGAGAAGAAGCCATAAATCAACAGGAGCTCACGTCCTATAGGAGTGTGTTCAACTAGAACTGGAGGAACTCTTCTTCGTTCACGTCCCTCCACCTTCAAATGTCACACTGCAGCTTATAAAAGGTTTCGTTTTTGTGGAGATAAGTGCAGCAGTACTTCAGTGCACAGTTTAATCACCCACTCACTCTTTCTGCAGGAATTCAGCTCATCATTTATAACTGGTGTTGTTTAAACAGCCAGCCGGAGCTTCTGCAGCTTTAAGTGACTTAATGTCACCGCAGTGTGTTTGCATGCAGAGATATCTGCCACAATGATGAACTTAATCCACTTATATCTGAGGGCAGTTATGCATCTAGCACTTCTGCTAACCTCTCAACCTCTAAATCCAAGTCGGCGTGTCTGTCAGAGTCGATGTGTTGATCGTCCTGAACAGCTGAGCGTCCTGGTCTTTGTGGGTGAAAATGATGTCCCGTTTTTATTTGTGTGTCTACTTTAGAACTTGTTCTGTTCCCGTGAAACGTGCAGTCTGCTCGCACTAGAAGAAGAAAGTGGTTGTGATGCTGGCAACGCCTGTGGACGGTATCAGAACCAGAGCGTGCACACACACCGACCCGCTGCTGCACATGGAGGCAGCTCACTGGGAATAAGGAAACTTCAGGGTGTTAGAACACTTTCCTGGCATAAGCACACAATTTAACAGCAGAGCAGACAGAATCTAAGTCATGTTCCACTCATGAATGTGCCCCGGGGTGGACTGGCCGTCTGGCACCTGGTGGGCCGGGGCAGCGGGGGCTGGTACCGATGGGTTTTTCCCCCCACATAACTGGCTGACTAGTTACGTGACCTGTTGTCCAGTCGTGTGGCTGACTGGCCATTTGCCACATGTCATTGGTCAGCTGTCAGTCAGGGCCTGTCAATCACCCAGTTGCTGGGTGGGCGGGGCTAACAGAGTTACAGGTAAGTCTGACAGGGAAGAACAACCACCGACAAAACGCCCTGGTGGCGCCGAAAACATGAATAAAACAGAACAAAATGCTTCTCCCTCGGGGTGTCAGGCCCTCATGCAGGACCCAATGCAAATCTGACAGCAGTGGGTGGTCAAAAACCAAACTGCAGAACCCTTGATTTCCCTCAGAAGAAGGAGAGAACCGAGGACAGGGTTAAAAAGAAGACCAGCGTGGGTGGGTTTCTACACTACAAAGCGAGGCAGGCCTGATGTGGATCATTTTCCCAGTTTTACTGACAAAGATGGAAAAGAGCCGGGCTTTGTTTTGACAAAGCGTGTCAACACACAACGGGAATCAATCTGCCACCCCCAGGTTCTGGTGACACCTAGTCTGATGTAGGTCGCCAGTACCAGCCTGCCATTGGCTGATCGCTTCAGTCGGCAGAAATCCAGCAGGCGGAGGGCTAGGAGTCTGGCACAGAGCTTTAATAGGAACAACTCTCAGTCTTACAGACCCTAACAGATCTGGACTTTAACTCAGGAAACCTCTGGAGTGACCTGGAGCACCTCGGCTATTCTCTAAAACATCCACGTGCCAAGAGTCTAAGGTGAGAAAGCAAAATGTTTTCTTGCTGTGTGCCTGAACTCACCTGTACTGTATCCCTGCCAAGGTGAGCAGCCTTCTGGATGCGGTCATCTCAGGTGAGTCGTGGTACTTGTCAGAGAGATACACCACTTCCTTCAGACCTGGGCAGGAGGAGGAGAGGATGATGAAGGGACACAGAAGGCAGCAGTATGATATTAAAGACTTGGTCTGTTTGGAGGAGATGTGGGTTCTGCCTGGAGACCTTCATGACGATTCATAGCAGGAGCAGAGAACGAGGCCCAGCTCTGGACATTAGCAATATTAACAATATAGAAAGTGTAAAGATTAAAGTTCCACTATACAGTGAGATGGTCTAAATGATGAAGGTCCACACAGAGGAGCTCAGGTTTTGTTGCTCTACTGTAACCACATGAATCCATCCATTATCTATGCACCACTTAATCCTCACTAGACTTTGCATTGATGCAAAGACTGGCGTGACTCAAGACTTTTGGAAGTTTGGCCAAAACACTGCGTTTCCTTCGGACTTGAAGAAGAAGAAAGAAGAGTCACGTGACGCCTCCTTCTACGTGAACGCACAGAGTTTAAAGCAGAAGGTCAAAGAACTGCCTTCATGACACTCATCATCCCTGATTGCAGCTTTTGTTTTTGTCGAGCCGACTTGCACAAAGAAAGCCCAGCTGTGTCAGACTGGCTTCGTCGTGCAGCCCTCAGGTGACGGTGGGATGACGAGGTTTTGAGGGAGTTTAAGTCTTGGAGGTCAGTGACGCAGACACATGGGCGTTAAAGAAGCAGAGAGTTCAGTGTGTCGGCAGCACATTTACACAATTACACATTCACACTAATTGCACTGAAATCCAAGTTGTTCATCAGTTCGCGGTCTTTCTGGTGCACAGATGCACAGTAACCCCCTCTTTCTTTAACACACAAACCGACTGCAGCGCCAACTTTCATTACCCACCACAAAGTCAATTCCATGAAATATATGACCAAATAATTCACACGGATATTTGAGCCTGATGTGAAAAGACGTTAAACAGATCGCGCCCGCCTTAAGCCTTAAGCGGACTCTGCGGGCTGCTGCTGCCGGGAGGGTTTGTTGGATGACTGAACATTAGCAGCTAGCAGCAAACTGATCATTATCGCCAAAAATTTTCCTCACATATTTTAAAAACCCATTTTATTTAATCGAAAATCTAGCCTGGTGTGAGGTACCCAAGCAGAGAAACTCTGACAAAAATACATTTTTTAAAAGCTAAATGAAAAAATGCCTAAAAGCGAGCCACCATTCCCCGGCTCCTTCTCATGCGCTTTGCTTTTTTTTTTTTTTTTCCCTCCAGTTCTGAGCGATAGCAACACGCAGCTAGCTCATAACGGGTCAGCAGTTCCTCCTAAAAACATCTATTTAAGTCTAAATTCTGAAACGATGATGATGATACGAAATATTTTGGATTAAAGCGGGTTTGCCCAGAAAAGTTTTGGAAACTCAACGTTGGCACAAAATATGAGTTGGCTCCAGCTTTAAAGTTTTAGCTTTAAAAAATAAATACCAGTAATATAAAATCTAAACATTTATTACTATAAACATCAGCATCAGTGTGTGTGTGTGTGTGTGTGTGTGTGTGTGTGTGTTGTGAGAACCCACCTGCCTGGATGATGAGCTTGGCGCATTCGTTGCAGGGGAACAAAGCCACGTACATGCTGCAGCCCTTCACGTCTGCGCTGTTCTTGTTCATGATGGCGTTGAGCTCCGCGTGGCACACTGTGGGACGGAGCATCCACATGAGTCAATACGAGGCGCTGCAAATTTTACTGGTTTGAAATGTAACTAGAGGTTTATTGGAAAACAAGTCCAATAAAAAAATTTAAAAAATCACAATGAAAGCAAAGAACTATAACAGTCATGAAGAGGCAGGCGTTCAATCCGGCGCCGTCCGGACACCCAGCATCACAGGATGCTTTAGATGATGCTGGAGACACCAACTTCCTTCTCTACTAAAGCCACCAGATACACAGAATCAGTGTTTTATTGTACAGTCGTGACTCGATAACCCGACACTAAATGTAAAACCTTCTTCTATGTCGAATATCAAGGCTGTCGGATTGTCCAGACGGAGGTCCAGATACGAGGAGGGCTTGATGCTGGAAGGATCATTAGTTGTTCATTATTGTTCATAGTTGTTATAATAACTAGTAGGGCTGGTCCCAATAGCACTTTCTGCTCTCTGGATGTTCAGGCCCAGTTAATGATGAATATCAGAACATTCTGTGCGGTCGGGGGCCACTTCCACCCCGGGGCAGCGCTCTGACGGGGTGGAAGTGTCCAGAACACACAGGCAGTACTTGGCTGCTGATGCTAGTTTAGTTAGCGCTCACACTTCTGTTTCCACCATCGGTGGCGGCGGGGGAGTGGCAGATACGCTCCACCGTTACTCACAAAGAAATCCTCATTGAGCATCAAGTCCTGCAGTGTGAACGTAGCCAATCTGTGGGATTGTTCAGTCAGATAATACGCCGTCATCCTGATTGGTGACATGAAATGTCATGTCGGAGTCACAATCCAAGGCTGTCGCTATGTTAAGGCTGTTTTATGGGTTCTGTTGGTTTTTCCTGAAAACCTGTCGGATAGCAGGTTTAGGATTGTTTAGGGTCGATTATGGAGTCACGACTGTATTTCACATTTGGATGGAAATAGTCCCGGTGAAAACAGCCTGTGGACTATTCACAGAAACTAAGACGCCATCTGCAGAAAGAGATGCTGACGTAGTTTTCTGAACACAGAACCATTTGATCCGTTTGGTCTGTCCAGGTTTCCTTTCTACACTTTGTTTACTTTTAAGAGCCAACCCTGGATTCAGCCGATTGTGTTCACCTCTGGAGGAAGAATCAGTCTGATGAACACTGACGTAGGCCCGAGGCCGGCCACAGACACTCCATCGATAGCATGAAGAAATGTGTTCAATACAACGTTCAATAGCTTCCCCTCAATGCATCAGCTGCAAACAACACATGACAAAACTGCAAAGTTCAGTTGTCTTAACTAAGGAGCAGGTTTCCAGTGAGGTTCTGCAGCTCAGCGCTGGTCGCCCTTTATCCTCGTTTATTTTCTAATCTCACTGTTTTTTGTGGGTATGATTTAATTGCTGTATTAACATTACAATAACTGGTGTGCCTCAAACAAAAAGACAAAACACAGTAAAGCAGTTAAACTCCAAGTAGCCTGAGGCGGGTCAACTCAAAATAAACCTGTTTCTCACAGTCTTTATTTAAAAATGATTAATAATCATCGATATCGACTGAAATAAACATTTTTTTTATGACAGATTTTTAGCCAAATTCAACCTCCATCTTCCTTCCAGTGCCGTCATCACATGACAATCAGTTGAGGAAACAGGAAGATGACGTTCAGACGAACCGTCAGACTATCGAGAGGCTTCCAGAGAACATTCACAACCCCAAGACGATGGATCTTTGTGTCGCTGTATCGCCGTCTGGCCGCGATTTCCACCAACAAACAACATGTACGTTTCTAATAGCGTTGCAATGTGCACTCGTGTTATCCAGGAGATGAACGCTACTGTCTCCAAACAGCACTTCATCTTTATGATTCTATTCATTCTGTCTGACTGAGAAAACCTGGAGGTAATAGCTCCTACAAACAGTGAATGCTCTGCACTTATACATCTCCTCCAGTGGTACTCAAAGGGCTTTACAATGTGTTTCTCATTCATCCATTCACACACATTCACACACCAATGTTGTTGTTGTCATGCAAGCTGCTGCCTGCCAGTGGGAGCAACTTTGACTGTGGAGGGGATGGAACCATCAACCTCTACCACCTGAGCCACAGCCGCCCACATCCATCCATTATCTCTACACCTTCATCCTCACCAGGGTCATTAGGGGGCGGAGTCTATCCCAGCTGACTCAGGGTGAAGGCAGGTTCACCTGGACAGGTAACCAGTCTATCACAGGGCTACACTTAGAGACAGACAACCAAGCACACTCACATTCACACCTACGGACAATTTACAATCACCAATTAACCTCAGCATGTTTCTGGACTGTGGGAGGAAGCCGGAGAACCCGGAGAGAACCCACGCTGCACGGGGAGAACATGGAGACTCCACGCAGAAAGATCCCGGGTGTCCTCACCGGGACGCAAACCGGCGACCTTCTAGCTGCGAGGCGGCGGTGCTAACCACTGAGACACCTGCAGCCTCTTTCTAACTCACACAACTTATTTTCTTATATTCTTGAACATGTAGTTTTGAGCCCCACCAGACATCGAGTCAGTCACCAGACGTCACTCAGCTCCCGGTGGAGCTTTTTGACATACGCAAAATTAAAATTGGTGGAACTGTTCTGTTGCGGTACAGCTCAGGAAAAACCCTCAGTAATCTGCTGATCTGGTTCACTCTAACAGCAGGGCCTGTAAAAACAGATCATTATCAGGACTTTAAATGTTTACGTCTAACCGAAGTGTGAGCTCTTCTGCAAAACAAGGTAAAGTTCAAAAGATCTGAACAAAAAGGAAAGATTGAGGAAAAGGAGAGTATTTCTTTTTAACCATCTATCACATTGTTAATTGTGCAGAACAAAGAAAGAAGAAAGAGAAAATAGAATGTGAGAGATTGAGGATGTTTAATTAGTTGTCCTCTACCGCCCTCTACAGGTCAAAGGCTGAAAATGGACAAAACATATCTGCAGCATCAGGACATGGACACACCAATGGCCTGGCAATCAGATGACATTCACATATACATTAGTGTGGCTGTGTCAAACTGGCTTCATAGTGCAGCCCTCAGGTAAAAGGTAAAGAGCACCTGTCCACAAGCATCCTCACCGTAGGGGTATTTGGTGTCGAGGCGGTCGTCAGCAGACCGAGACCACGGCAGCAGGTCATCATCGCAGCCGTTGGGCATGCCATTGTAGCCGATGCCCACGATCTTGTTCTCCTGGTTCACGATGCACGCTCCCACCTGCAGAGAGAGAAGAAAAGAAAAGAATAATCACATCGCATCATCAAATCACAACATTAACAAGTCGGAAAAATCAGTGGGAAGAACTACACACTTCTAATTCTGACAGGCCCAATACACATTTATTTGATAAATGCAGGCTTTATTTATTTATTTATTTTTACAATGATCTGGTGACCCCCTGAAATTATCTTGGGACCCCCATGGGGGTCCAGACCCCCAGTTTGAGAACCACTGCTCTAGATCAAAGTATTGCTCAAACGGATGATGAGCTTTTTTATTCACCTGGCATTGTGCATGAATCCCATAATAATGACCAGTTCAACCTGCAACGTTTCACCATTTAGTCGACTAAACATCTACAGGTGGCTCTGAGCTTCCACTCCACCTTGTCTTCATGTTGTTTTTCTACTGTGGGAGGAACCTACACCGGTACGGGGAGAACATGTCAGAACCCACAGCCTCCTGCTAACTGGTACGTCGCCGTGGCAACATTCAAGGGGAACATCGACACTTCTGCTCGTCCGTCTTATTGACAGTTTTCCCTTAAATCTATACAAAGACGGTTATTTTCTCACTCTGACTTGGATCAGGAAAGAGTCTTATAAACCTGAAGCACATCTGGAAGCTGTTTGTCATGACTGTGGATAAAAAAACTTTAACCTTTGAAACGGGGGTTTGCCACAAAGGAGCTTAACTTTTACACAGGAGCTGTTTGTTAGGAAGCCTTCTGTGCTTCATTAGTTAGTTGTGAGGTATCTAATAAACATGGGAGCAGGAACACACACCTGTGAGCTGGGGTCTTTGCTCCTCTGGGCCGACAGGAAGGCGACAGCCATGAAGTACTCCGGCCACTCCAGGTAGTCTTCTCTCTTCTGGGTTGTGCTGCTACAAGACAGAGAGACGGTAAATTAACCATCACTTAAGCAATTTTTGTTTCATTTAGCCAAATTGCAGCTCTCTGAGCAGGAGCTGCCTCTGTTTACACATCCATCCAGGTTTCTGCTACACGTGTACACACACAGTAAACCGATGATCCGCATCATTACCACAAACACGGCGACTTTAAATGAAATACCACAATGGAATCTTCTGAGGAGCAGCGTAATCTTCAGTAAAAGCTTTAACATAATAGCTCACAGTCCACCTCACTTACAGGCATCAGGGGAGCAGGCTGCAGTTTCATTTACTGAAACCTCCTTTCTGTTCTTTGGGTTTGAGCAGAAATATGTTTTTGGCTCGCCACAGTTCTGGCTGCCTGCCCAGCTGCTCTCTAACTTCTGACTTGATCTGAAAATAAAAATGCTGCTGCTGTACCAACACAGGGTCATCCTGGAAGCCCTGGAGGAAAAATAAGTGTTTAAGAATCCTGGCCTCTTGTAGGCTGAAACACACGGACAATGAAACACAGACTCCATGTGCTGGTAGTTAAACCGTATAACCAGCTGAAAGTTTAACGGGTCAGGCTGCTAATTAGTCAGCTTCCCAAGATCTATTTATTACTTTATTGGTTTTATGTATTTATTTACCTGTTTGATGATTAAAACGGCCACAGATGAAAGTTCTTAACCACTCGATGATGATTCAGTTCTAGTACTTGCTGTGTGATTGTTATGTGTCAGAAATAAACAAAAAAAAAACTATATTTACTCGAGTACTTCACTGAACATACGAGCTGCACTGAGAGACCAACGCCCTGCAAGTTGAGGAGATAAACTAAAGAAACATCTTCAGTTAACAAGGCAGATGCTGCTTTTAAGGGGAAAAAACAAATACAGGATAAATGCTAACAAAAAGCTCATCACCGGTCACTTCAGGACCCCGAAATGACTGCAAGAACAAACATGTCTGAACTTTTTAAAGCCACCCAGAAACATTTTTTGGTGCCGTCTGTGCTATGTGCAGCAGTTCATGTATTCGGTTGTGCTTTTTGACACACATATATATATATATATTGCAATATGAAAAACATCCAGCGATGTCGCCCCCAGATGAGTGAAGTTATTTGAAACTGATTAGTTGTGCTGCCTTGTGTAGTCTCAGCAATTTCAAGCCAGTGCTGCCAGAGTATCACAATTATTCAGTGATTTTAGAGAAAATATGTCGATTGCACTCTGACATGAAACAAACCGAGCGCTGCCTTCACTGCTAACGCACAAAGCTGCAGCAAAGTAAGACTTAAAATAAGCCCCTTCACCTCAGATCAGTGCATGTCCTCGAGGCAAAATATAAATAAATTGTACCCAGAATGCCTCGCCTGCTGCATACCTGCTTATCGATGAACTCGTCATTTTACCTACGCTCCCTGAACGCCTCACGCAGGTCGGCTGAGTGCACAGAAGCCACTCGTCTCTGCTCAGTTAGTGCAGGGCAGCAGCTCAGACCAAACATGTTTAAAAGGAGTGAAATAAGGCATTCAAATAGGGTTTTCTCCAAACGTAAAACACCGGTGCACTTCAGCAACACTCTGAGACAAAAACTGGTTCACCCCAAGGACTAAACAGCAACACACAATGGAGCAGCGCTGTGCACCGACGAGGGCACCGACTGGTACATCAGAGACACTAAACACCAGCTTCACTAACGTATGGCTCAGCACAGGAGATAACAGACCTTCACATAGGACAGAATAAACTAGGGATGGTTTGAGAGGAGTGAAGGAAGCTCTGTGTCAGACTGGACCATCCATCTCCAGATGGAGGAGGAGGTCTACCACACCACCTACCAAGCACCCAGTGATAAGGTCTCACACCACAAAGTTTCATCATCGTTAACATCTGGAGTCCGTCCTGACGTGGTTTGTTGTGTCAACCAGCAGCTCCACCACCATGACCACTGCTGCTGCTGTTGGTGGACCACCTGGTTTCACCACCATTCACACTGGAGACAGGTGAGTCCTGGTGGCTAACGGACCATCAGACTGTAAGCTCTGTAGCTCCCCATTGGTCACGTAGAGCTGAAGAAGCCTCTTGGATGAAACGTCCTGGATCCTTCAGGGTCCCAGTACGTGGAACTCCCAACTAGTCAGTCAGACCAGATGAAGCCTCTTGGATGAAGGTGGAACATCTTCAAGGAGCTCAGTCCAGTTACTACGATGAATCTACGAGAAGAACCAGGACCTGGAGGACTGAATCTTCACAGACACGTCTTCAAGAAACTACAAGAGACGTCCAGCTGGTTTCTACTGAAGGACCTGGATGACCGAGACTCTACAGTGGAATGACCTTCTAACCCTCAGTTTATTAGAACCTGGACTGGTTGCTTCAATCCTGTTTTTGCTGATAATACCTGTCCTGTTTAAATGACTTCAGGACACCTTTCCAGCCAACATGCTGCACTGGGGGGTCGGACCGGGCCTCCCCATGCGGCCCTGGCCCACCTCTCAGCACCTCAGTCCGGGACAACAACCAGCTCAGCTCCGGGACCGGACACACGTTCAAACATCACGTTTTAAGGACACACACGGTGGACGGAAGGTTTACCGGCAGGACTTCCGGCTCCCTGCTGAGAGTTTCAGTGTGACGTCACAGTCTCCACTGAGCCGGTTTTAAACGAGACCCGGTAAAACAGAGACCGGATCGAACACCGGAGAACGGACACACACGTGGTCTGAGCCTCCCTCCCTCCGCCTGCCTGTCTGTCTGTCGGGGTGGATAGTTACCTGTTGGGCCCACCGGGCTGCTGAAGCTCGTCCATGGTCCGGCAGACTGTCCCGGTTCTGGAGCTCTGGACACGGACACCGACCCTCGGCTGCCCGTCAGCTGGAAGCCGGAAGAGAGTTCCCGCGCTGAGAGCTCCCGCGCTAAGGCTGCGGCGACAGTAATCCCTGGTCCTGGTCTGAAAGGACGAGCTCCGACTGGTCTGTGCCTGGTCTGGTCTGTGAGACTGAAGGAGGACTGAAGGGACCATCAGTCTGACCTCAGCCTGCAGCTGCAGCACAGCGCAGCGGTCAGACAGCAGCCTGGCCGCTGCTCGGACTGCCTGACAGGATTACTCAGGGGCAAAATATCCCA